TTCGAATATGCTGGCGAAGCTCCCCGGTGAACGAGGGCAAGATAGTCGTCGGTTGACATGATTGGGGCATCCAGAAGGAGGAGCCATACATATATTCTCACGGTTGACTATCGGGCATATCAGTTAGTTAACTGCACCCAGGCAGATCTCGGTAGGTGCGCAGGAAGGCAAATTCCCACCATTCCATCCTCGGCGCTCTTGACGCCCTCGTCAATGACTTTCCACCTGGCACTCTCCAATGCGCCAACATAGTCTCCATCGTTCGGACCATCGCGCAATATCTGCTGCAGCGACAGATGGCCATGCGAAAACACGGGTTTGTTAACTCCGGCGCGCTTGGCTGCTGTCACAGCGTTCATCTGATGGACCATGGGCGACGTCGCATCGCTGTTGGCTCTGACGCGCTGGATGACGTTGGACGAGCGCGTGGGCGAGGCATTGCGCTGCTGCTGCTGGTCCTGGCGCTGCTGCGATATCAGGGACGAGAAGATGCTGCCTCTGTTTGCGGCGCCCAGGGTATGCGCAGACTGCAGCCGTCGCAGGGCTCGATGTGTGCGCGGCGATGGTGGGGGTTGGAGTTGAGGAAGCTGGGGAGGGTGCAATTGCGGGATCGGCTCCCGGTCAGGGCTAGGCATTGTCAATCTCTGGCGGTCTGGTCTAATGAAGAGGTTGTTGGCGAGGGGATTGAACCACGGGTTGGGTCGTCGTCGAAATGCTGAAATTGGTTTTGTTGAATCGACGAGCCCGGGTGAGCTTCAGAATGCAGTGGCTGGCATCCATGTCAAGACCAGGCTAGAGAGGCTGGGAGGTCATTGATGGAGCACCTGAGACTGGGCACCTGTGCAGCAGGAATTGGGTGCTGTGGCTAGTGCTCTACGGGTACCTGCTATGAGCACTAACTCCCCGCCAGTAATTGATGTGCCATTGACAGAAGCTGGGCCATTGTAGGGTCAGTGCTTCTCAGCGGAAGGTCTTTGTGCCTACCCTCCGTGTGGTATGGGGTAAGTTGAGTTGGTGTCTGAATAGGCACACCATAATCAACTGCAGACTTTCATGACACCAACGACAAAATTAATAAGGATTTCTTACCAACTGCATTTTAATAATACGTGTGCATGGAATACACGCGAAGACAGCATTATCACTCCCCACATCCGAGGCAGGGGTCCCGTGGGGGTTAGTACGTCAGCGTACCTAGGTACCAAGTGGGTGAGAGCAGAAATGTAGTCGATTAAAACCGCCTCTTCCCTTAGGTGTCTCATTCTACAATAAATAGAAATTTCAGTAGTATGAAAATAGAAGAAATGAACAGTAAATACAGTATTGTATATTATTGGGACTCAATAATCCGATAATACCCGTCGCAGACTTGAGAATAAGCAGCTTATTGTTTGAGTGTCTTGCCTACTCGATACCGATGGCTCTTTAGGGTAGGGCGGCTCCATCCACACTGGCTCGTTTATTATGCACGTTCTCAAATGGGATGATCTACCAGATCTGCTTCAGCAAATGGCTTTCCAGATCGTAGTCGCCCAAAGAAGATCATTATGAGTCTTACCAATTATGTTTTCGCGGCCCAGTGCTCCCTCCATTCATAGACCGCGCCCCCATCTCAGCTTGGTCATCACACGACAGGAAGTGTGGGCGTCTAAATTGCGTGATTGTCCCACAGTTTGACGCCAAACGGTGGGTGATCAACTATAGTGATCATGCCTCTCGAGACGACACACGAGGCGACGCAAGCCTCCCAGGCCATGGAGACCTGCAATTTGTGTCATGTTAGAACCCGGTTATAGCGCCAGCTTCCCCCCGCCGTAATGTCCTGGCTCTCCTCTCGAACATGATAAACCCTCCCTGCTCCCCAAGCGTAGCCTGACTGTGCCCACACCTGTGGCATCTTCATGTTGGATTCAACTGTGTCGGTGCTCAGGGTCTGACAGCCAATCATTACCGTGTCACAACGCGGAGTCGATCGTGTCGTACTCAACATGACCCTTCCCAAAACTGGTCCTCCGGACCCCGAGGACAGAGTTGCGGGTGATACAGTATCACAACTGGCGTCCAGCCCCGATATGTACATCGAGGGGCTCCCCACATCTGTCGAATGGCTTCGAGAACAGCTACCATCTGCGGGAGAAGCTGCAAGTTACACTGCCTCACTGTTTCCTTTCGTCTCATGGATTAGCCATTACAACAACATACAGTGGTTGGCGTCAGACGTGGTTGCTGGCGTCACCATTGGTGCTGTCGTGGTTCCCCAAGGCATGGCCTACGCCCTTTTGGCAAAGCTACCCCCCGAGTACGGCCTATACTCCTCCTTCATGGGGGTAATGCTGTACTGGATATTCGGTACCTCCAAAGATATCTCCATCGGGCCCGTGGCGGTTCTTTCTACAGTTGTCGGTAACGTGATCGAGGCAGTCCGCACTTCGGGGCTTGATACTCCACCCCAAACTATCGCCTTCACTCTATCAGTAGTTTCCGGCAGCATTGTTCTCGCTATCGGCCTGCTTCGTTGGGGTTGGATCGTCGACATTATACCCCTCACCTCCTTGTCTGCGTTCATGACTGGGTCTGCGGTAACTATTGCCGCCAGCCAACTACCGGCACTTTTGGGAGTTAAAGGTTTCTCAAACCGAGACCCGCCATACCAGGTCATCCTAAATACCGTAAAGCATCTTGCAGAAGCGAAGACGGATGCTGTCTTGGGAATCACCGCCCTCGTCATATTGTATTCGATCCGACACTCGCTGGCCAAGGCGGCCGAACGCTTTCCGAGGCACAAGCGTTTCATTTTCTTTCTTAGCACCATGCGGACAGTTGCCGTCTTGGTGATGTTTACAACGGCGAGTTATTTGATCAACGCAGACAGACCAAAGGATCCCCTTTTTGATATCCTGGGTCACATCCCTCAAGGTAAGTTATCAACCACCAGACTTACATCGGTTTCATTCTGACTAGAGACTAGGCTTTCGACATATTGGTGTGCCGCAGGTTGATTTTAACCTTGTTCATCGCTTCTCTTCTCTTATTCCAGCAACTGTCATCGTGATGGTGGTCGAACACATGGCTATCGCGAAAAGCTTTGGCAGAGTAAACAACTACACGATCGACCCTTCTCAGGAAATGGTCGCTATTGGGATCACAAACATGCTTGGCCCCGTGTTTGGCGGATATTCTTCTACAGGCTCATTCAGCCGTACTGCGATCAATTCCAAAGCCGGAGTTCGCACACCGGCAGCAGGACTCTTTACTGGTGGCATTGTTCTCCTGGCGACCTACTTTCTAACGGAGATCTTCTTTTTTATCCCCAGCGCTGCTCTGTCTGCTGTGATCATCCACGCCGTGGGCGATTTGGTTACATCGCCCACTACCGCCACTCAGTTCTGGCGTGTGTCACCCATCGAGTTTTTCGTCTTCGTGGTCGGGGTGCTGGTCAGCTTCTTCGCTGGAATAGAAGACGGTCTCTACACCACGATCGGACTGTCCATTGCGATCCTTCTTTTCCGCCTTCTGCAAGCCCGTGGCGACTTCCTGGGGCGAGTCAAAGTACACTCGGTATTGGGAGACCACATAATCGGCGATAGCCATAGAGAGGTAGTGGCCCAATACGGCACTTTCGACCAAGACACAACCGAAAACTCGGCCCGGGCCCGAAATGTGTATTTACCTCTCAATCACGGTGATGGCTCAAACCCCGAGCTTAACATCGAGACCCCTTATCCAGGGATTTTCATCTACCGGTTTTCCGACGGCTTCAATTTTACCAACGCGAACGCGTCACTCGATTACTTGACAGAGTTCATCTATGATAATACAAAGCAGACCAGCCCGGTGTTCTTTGAGCGGCCGGGGGATAGGCCCTGGAATGATCCCGGGCCGAGGCGATCTGCCAAATCGCTCGCGAATCCCTCACATGACCGGCTGCCCTGCCTCAAAGCTATCATTCTCGATTTCAGTTCCGTGAATAATGTCGATATCACGTCCATGCAGAGACTGATAGACGTGAGAAATCAGCTGGATGCCTATTCCACCCCTGACGTGGTGGATTGGCACATCGCCTGCATCAACAACAGATGGACGAAGCGAGCTTTGGACGCAGCTGGGTTTGGGGTACCGTCTAATCACAATGAAGAAACGCATCACAGGTGGAAGTCAATCTTCAGCATCGCTGACATTGGCGGACGAAATTCAGCGGCAGCCGTTGCAGAAGAGTCTCGCATGAGCTCGTTCGCGCTCAGAGACGAGGAGGAAGCCTCAAGTATAGAGGGACTCAGCCCACTTGCGGAGAGAGAGGGCGACATTGGCATGGAGAAGACTGGGGCGGCGTCTCCAAGGCGGAATCGAGGGGTGGGAGGAGGTTTGGCCATCCACAGCGTGAACAAGCCTCTGTTCCACGTGGATTTGACGAGCGCGCTGCAGAGCGCTATTGCCAACGTCGAAGCGAAAGAGGAGTTCAAATTCTCACAGCAATTGGATACTTAGCATGCTTTTATGACATAGACTTAGGGTGGCATTGTTGGCGTTTACACTGGCGAGCGGACTCATTATGTTTTCCCTTGGACTTCTCAAATATAATATTTTACTAGAATCGTCTGGGGTTCATCAGACCTCAACCTTGTTTCTGCACTATGGTGAGTGTTAGGAATACTGTGCCATAAACCTTTGGTCGATCTGTGATAGGTTGGATTTACCATTGGGGTCTTTCATAACTTCTTGCCGTTGTTATTGACTTTTTCTAGGTGACTATTTCCTGGTTGTTTGGTTATTGTTCGAAACAATAGAAGAATTTTGTGCACCAGGTGCTCTGTGACTAGGTACCCATCATGTTACTTGATGAGCAGAGGGCACAACATACTTAACTCTCCAGCCTGCTATGCTCCCGAACAAACTTCCTACTTTCAACCGCACATCTTCCCACCTCTTCCCATCTTAATGTCACCCCGTTTATCAACGACTGATTTTGACTCCTGCAACTTATCCTCACCATCTACAACGCCATGGCTGGCAGTGACGGAATAGAACATCGCGTTTCGTGTTTCGAAAAACTTCCGACCGAGACCATCTGGATGATCGCCTCGCTCTGCGATCACTGGGACATTGTGGCTCTAGCGTCCACCTCTTCTCACATGCGATCCAAGGTCATCCCGCTTATTCACAAGAAAGTTCGCATCGTAGCTCAACAAGATTCACCAAACGAACAACTTGCCGACTTCTTGGGGCGCCAACCCCCCATTAATTCTCGTATATCCAGCACAATCAGGTACAACCCCAAACGAGTCCCATCAGACTTTTCTATAACTAATTGAAGACACAGCTATGCTAACATATATGTTTTGCCGGAGCCTAGTAAAGGCGGGCCACCGCATCGTTATGATCGTCATGCCCGTGATGATGGAGCTGACGGCCTGGCGCAGCAACTTTTCGAAGCTCTACAGTCTATGCCTAAACTACGATCATTGAGCTTACACCTGACCTGCATGAGCGATTCCCAAGAGCCTGAGCTGTATCGCAGAATGCTGGTTGCGGGAGCTACCGAAATCCAATACCTACGAATCTGCGCCTCAACGCGTGTTACGAGAAGATTGCTCCAAACATGTCCTGCGCTCACAACACTAGATTTTTGCCATGGTTTTGAACTGGGACAGCTTCACGAGATTCCGCCAACAGTCAAGCGCCTGGCTGTGACTCTATATGTTGAGTCGCATTTGTCTTCCAGTGTCCGGATCCCATCACTCAAAGTTGAGAACATCCGCCACATTGTAAGGCTCAATAGTGGCCTTGAAGAGCTTATTCTGCGCGATCTTGAGAAGAATAAAACCCCCTTTGATCCTCGGTCAATTGAAACCGGAGGGTTGGATGCACTTTTCGTAAGTACAAGTATTTAGTGTATGATACAGCCTACTTTGACGCATGCTAATTGTCTCCTCATCCAGAAGGACGCTCTGCGTAAAGCTGCCCATGAATTGAGCCGACTACTGAAGTTGCAGCGTCTAACAATCAATATATGGAGGGGCACATCTTTACAAGTCCGTAGCCATAGTCAACTGGTTCCGCTGGAGAAGGAAGACTGGCACAGAAACTGGTACAGCGACTGCATCTGGAACTTAGGAGAAGCTCTACCACATGTCCAAAAGATATGTATAATCTCCGGGCATCAGACCTATTGGCAGGGTTCTAGGCAGATGCCGGAGGGAACGCTTCTCACCGAGAAAAGGACCACGGGCCTCGAAAAAAAGTTTCCTCGCACATTCAAGAGATAGTCAAAGCTAGGGCTTCCAATGGACCGGTGGTAAGAGTGGGGTCTTAATCTTGACGGAACCGGAAAGCTTGATTCTTGATTCTCTATGCTCTTAATTTGGGAAACTGGACGATTCGGTAAAGGAGTTACGCAATGATGAAGAAGAAAAATAGAGACTTGGAGAGTTTCAATTTCGAGTTTCGTATTTGATATTACGAGAGAATGGCTAGCTATAACATCATAAACGGACGAAAAAGTGAAACGATATTGATCGAGAAACTTTGCAATTCCACATATGGCCAAGATATGTGACTCACTACACTAAACTGAGCTATGAGATCACGTACGCATTTAATGTTTTAGCAGATGTGACGCATACTAGTTGGTTGCGTTTCATTTACGATCATATGTTATGCCATCGTTATGCCACCAGATGGCAGCCTGAGTCCCTTTTATGGAGCCATTGAACCACGCCTTAGGTTGAAGCATATTTCATTCTACCCAGGTCTGTTGAGCGAGTATTCAAAACATCAGGAGCGATCCATTATCCTACCTATCTGCGTAATTGAAATAAGTTCATCTAGCCGAACCCTTCGATATATCACGCGAAGCCACAGTATGTCTTGCTGGCCTCGGTTAAGGCGCTTTTGTCTTAGGCACTCCAGACTCGGACGCTTTTTCTTCAGATGCTTCTGGGATAGGCGAGCCTTCCATGGTCATGGATTCCATTTGCTGAACAAGGCCATCTTCCGGGATTGAGCTCGCTCCAAAGGTACGAGTTTCTTCTAGGTGTGCCCTATCGGTTTGTTCGATGCCAGTCGTTGGAACAAGCCCTAGGAGAAGGGTATACTCATATCTGCGACTTGGGATCCTCTCCAAGCGCCGTGCCATCTCACGGAGGCGGTTGCAGGCTGTCCAACTTAACGCTCGGTGCCGTCTTTTGGCGATCTTCTTCTTAAGGCTAGTCATAGTGATGTACGATTTTGTTTGGAAGCCGAGATGAGGAAGGGAAGGTATTGGAATGATAGAAAGACGACAGGATAAGGTGAGAGCATGGAAGAAAAGGAGAGAAAGAAAAGCGAGAGGATGACAATAAACAAGCCCTACGTAAGGTAGGTAGGTACGATTCTAGAGGCACGCTTCTTGCAAACTGCACCCAAATAAACACAACACAATAAAACAATGATCATCAGATATAAATATAAACCAAGCGTCCACGTACGCTCTCAAGAAGTGCATCATCCACGCCGCATGAAGAAACAACCTTCCAACTTCCCAGACTTACAATTTCTCCACCATGGAATCGGAATATGTGCCACCTTGGAAGCGAATGGGGTTTAAATCCCGAGAGGAAATGATCAAATACGATGAACGCGAGCTACGTCGAGAGTGGAAGGCATACCTGCAAAACGCAACTGGAAGCACGAGCGTGAGCGAAACCTTCGTGTTACATTGAGCTTTTTTCCGCGGTATCTGCTCTGAAGCAACAAGGATAATCCATCACTAACAACTTGTTTCATTGAATAGCAGGGAGCAGTTGCTACCAGTCGAAAGGAGGATTCCGATTCCAAAGATGAAGATGATTCCAATAATGAGGATGGACAAACTTCAAGCACTATACTCGATGATAAGCACGTGAAGAAACGCAAGCATTTCAAGGGGCAAGATGGCGATCACCCAAAGAAACGCCAGAAGTCGAAAGCACGAGGTGTAAAGGAAGACTGTTCAGGGGACGAAAAACCCCCATTCAAAGCCGTTCACCCTGATTCCAAATCGGACAATGACTTGGATGGTAGCAATGACGACTATGAGGAATCTACAAGCTCGGGAGAACATACCATGGAAAGCGAGGACAGTGTGGAAAAGTCAGATGGTACGACCTTGGAGGACCGTGGATGATGCACCAACCTTCGATGTTCTTTAGACGAGAAGTAAAGGAAGGGAGGGGAAGAGAAAGCAGCACACATATAAAGGGAGCCTTATGTTGTTGGTCTAATATGATTCACATGATTCCGTGCTGTTGTGTTATTCCATCGTTAGCAGTTCTCTGGGAGCCACACCGCAAGAAGAGCGTGATCTCCTAACATCGTTGCTACGCTCTGCCTTTGCCTGCTCATATGCTCATATGGATGGCGGGAGGCAGGTCCAAGGATCCGAAGCTTTCTTGCGTTCAACCGCCCCCAACACGGGATTATTTGAGTCCTGTGAGACTTCGGGGTCAAGTTTTGGCCGAACTTAAGTTTGGCTCTTTTGTAGAGAAAGATAAGATTACTTCCATCATCCATTCATGTCACAGGGACGGCATTTCGTGTTCTCTGAATTTGCCACCCGGCTTTGTGCTCTCTGGCAAAGAAATCCATATATAACTCCTGATTGACCTACAAAACATGATGTGCCCCTAACCCTGTCAGTGCTCTTTCAGTCTGCTTGATAAACAAATGCTAGCGCCTGCGCAATCCCATCATCTTGGAAATAAGCAAGTCCATGATCCATGTCGCCGCTATAAAGTCAGCACTCGATTCCTATCGCCTTGTATCAAACTCCCATTTGTGTTTATCGCTCTTCCCCCAAAAATAGCAAAGCATAAGTTGAATCTCAACACCCCTAGTTGCTAGTTGGTTCATTCCAAATGCTAACATAAATTGTTTCCCATTCCCATAGCCAGGGATATAATTTCATCAGAGGGCAATCTTGGGAGGGATTTCACCCTCGCACTCTTCTTGGCTCGTTTAAATGTCATACTAAATCTTGATCATATCGTAGCAGAGCTCAAATTTGCTTCTGGAGTAAGTTTGATCTCAATCCATGTAGAAGTCACCCTTGAGGATGCGTTCCTGGAAAGCATCTGGCTTGGGTCTCTCTTGCACAGGCTTAGGGGCAGGTGCGTGGTTCGGGGGTGGTGGCATGTCGGAGACAGACTTGGCGCGGTCGTGATGGAAGCTTGCATGCTGAGGTGGCGAAGTTGCCAGAGAAAATGAAGGTCGCTGACCTCCGGCTACATGGCTCTCCGCTCGGGACCTAAGTTGCTCAGGCCAATTGAAGCCTTGCTGGTCTAAGCGAGGGACAGTGTCAGAAGTAAATCTTATATGCTGGGCATGGCTTGCTTGCGAAGGGGAAGAGGCAGACACTTCGACGCTTGCTCGGCGACCTGCGAGTGCTGCAGAGAGGGCAGAATGCTTAGTCTGAGCCGCAGGTCTGCTGAATCTGCGACCAGATAGAGGTGGGGGAGAACTTGGGCTGGTATTACCATGACCTGGGCTCCCACCAGGGCGATAGCCCCTCATTGAGGAGTTACCAAAACTCATACGCCTTGTGAATGGCGTGGTTGGCGCTGTCTTCGGTCCAAAATCATCGTCCTCAATAGCGCTCTCGTCGATTGAGTCCGAGTTGTTTGAATTGGTCGACATGCTGCCCCGGCGCATGCCGAAACCAGAGGAAACATTTGGTGAGGCCCCCGAGAGTCCTAGAGTCGAGACAGATAGTCTACGGCGTTGAGGGTCTGTGACAGCTGGGTTTGGCTGGCCAGGAAATGGCGGGCCAGTGACACTGGGGCCAGAACGCTGGAATAGATTGGACAAGGCGGCTTGCGTAATTGAGCCGCGGCGGTTTCGTGGATTCGCATCGCCAGAGCCGGAAGGCCCTGGGAAAGAGCCATCGGTCGCCATGACTGCGAGGGGTTGACACAATGGAACCGACAAAATACGTAGGATGGGATTGTAGTGACGTCGGTGATTGAAAATGAGCAGTCGGTTTGCGATTAAGATTCGTAGGTAAGATGAGAGCACGGCGTCGATGGGGAGATTTCAGATGATTATTGAAGGAGAGAGGAAAAGAAAGAGAAGAAGAGAGGAGAGGAGAGAAAGATTAATAAAGCTGGGGTAGTGTAGGTCGAAGCAGAGGGATTGGACTAGTGAGACACGTGTGGGGAGGTGGCTTTATAGTGGTGACTGAGTAATCCTAGTTGGTGAAAGAGTAGGTGTGGTTGCGCTTGGTCTGAATGCAAGCTATGAAAGGGTGCATCCAGGATGCGCGCGCGGTCGGGGGTGGGAGCTGAAACTACTGCAGACACGCAGCCGTCAGAGGAAGTGGTGGGAGAAAGCCACGAATCAACGACAAAGGAGTTGAATTGCGAGATCGGTGTTGTAGTCGTTCTATAACATTGACAGGTGTTCTATGGTCGGATGGCGGTACCAGGATGAGCCCACCAGTAGCGAGCACGGGCAGACAAGACAAGGGCTGGCGTTCCGGCGGCAACGCAGCAGTCGATGGCACGCTTCCAATGGTCGAGTATCTGGCCAGGAGGGTGTTGTCGAGACTCGTGGAAAGTGGTGCCAGATGGCCAGAAAGTCAGTAGAGTTGTAGACCGAGGACGGGGCGGAGAGCCAGAAGCAGGAGCTTGGCTGCTAGGCCGCGCCTGCTTTTTAGTGGGCAGACAGGGCGGCAAGCACGGATTGACCCCAGCGGTTTGGGGGACCCTGAAAGCAACGGCGCCGGCCACACAAAAGTGGGGTGATGCTGAGATCCGAGAAGTCCGCCACAGGGATGGTCTGGCCCAGACATTCCCTGAGAGTGCGTCCGTACGTAGGCTGTGACGGGGAATTCGCCGATCGCATGTTAACGGAAGGCAGAGGGGACTGAAGTTATGGCGATCTGTCTGGCAGTGACACCAGATCGCCACTCGTAACTACTCTGCTACGATTTATTGTGTAGGCCCGTACTTGACGCAATGGCCTATACCCCTCCTCTCTTATCCCCTAAAAGCAATGGGCGACGAAAGGAGAAGGAAGCTTTGGGCCAATGCTCCTCCTTGCCTGGTCAAGTCGCGGTGACAGCTGGGAGCTCCATGAAGCTTTAGGAACCTGCCTAGCGAAGTGGGGATGGAGCCACTGAAAGCTAAAGGTTGGTGCATGTGTGAGGGGGATGCAAGGAGGGTGGTGACGTCGAGCCGATGCCGGGATCGATTAGCTGTGGGGCACCCGCAGTGCAGCGTCGTTCAGTGGCACGGTACCTCACACCTTCTGTTCTTTGGCCGGAAGCCTCAGCAGCACCTGCCTGGGCGGTACGTAGCGGAGGTTAATCATTGCGAGGGGAAGGGCAGGGGCGACCAGAGTCACCGCCTCCAACAGATCGTGATTTCCTCTTTTCTCTCGCCTACACTCGCATGTTGCAGGGCAACCTTAAGTCAGGTCATTGTCTACGGCGGTGATCCCCCTAAGCCTGCGCCTGGCTCGGTGCCTGACCCAGTAAAACCATGGCCCCAGGTCTATCAATTAGCCAGCACCAAAATAGGGTCGATTTCACATGCTCCATCCGCTGTGTAATGGCTGAGACCGTGACTCGCGATAGGGAACTAGGTGCCTTTCCCCTCTCACAGGGTGTTATCAACCTCTTCTATGCAGACAAGATGTCGCATTGCCTCTCCATTTCGGTGTAATGAATCAGCCTGCGACTCAAGGGAGGAGAGATGCTTCCCAATCCTGGCGAGGAAGTAAGAGTGTTCTCTCTGGAATCGGATCGGGACTGGGTCAAGGTAAGGGCTGCATTCCTGCAGCTTCGCAAGACGCCAATGTGGCAACCTATATCCCACCACCCCATGTCTTGTATGCACATCTCATAACACATCTGCAGATAGACATGGACAGGCCAGGGTCTGGCAACCGAACTAGAGCGCTGACGGGGTTTCGCCCAACCTGAGCGCCCAATCACTCCTTACCTCTGCTCAGTTTCGACCTTTGCCTATTCACTAACTTGGGGGAACTCTCCCGGAGTCATCAATCCCCACCCTGCAGGCCAATCAATCGGCACTATCTTCACAGAACTCACTGCTAGTGCTCGAGGGATTCGATGAATGTGACATCGGTTTTGCGGGGTATCTACACCCCCATGCCTAAACGAGCTGGCTCATGTTATCAAACTTCAGTCCAACATCGGGGTTAACGGGACGAGTAAACCATGATTGCAAGTGTGTCCTCCGGCGTCATCTTCGCTCTCCATCCACACTCTGGCGACCCAACCAAGTGGGTGACATCAGAAATGAGACACCTAAGGGGAGATTGGCCATTAATCGACTACTTTCTGCAAGAAATAGAGAATTTTGGAAGTAAGAAATAGAAGAAATGAACAATATATACAGTATTATATATTATTAGGACTCAATAATCCGAAAATACCGGTCGCAGACTTGGGAATAAGCAGCTTATTGTTTGAGTGTCTCAATTTCAATGTCACCCACTTGCTAACTAGCTTCCAATCGCTTTGCGATGGGCAGCCGCCTACGACGCAGCTCGCTTTTAGGTAGCACCATGCAGTAGCAGCAAGCAGGCGCGTACCTAATTTCATGCTCGTGCTATGGGTTCTAGGGCCACTCGTGCATCAAAAACAACCATAATCAGCCTATTTTTCTCCTTGGTCTCGTTTCAATCTGTTATCGATGTCACTGCTGCTACAGTCCACGTCCTCGCTCACCCCTTGCTCTAGCACACTATGGTCGAACTTTTGCTATCCCCGGTTTCCATTCCAATCTGTCATTCTTGGCACCCCTTCGCTGCAACCCCAGTCACAGCCATGCTGGCAGACCATATTCCAATCTCACCCTCCCTATCACGCAGCGAGGGCAACCAAACCAGATTGACAAAGCATTGACATGATGGGGACCGGTCAAGGAACAGAGTTCCCATTCTCATTACGAGATGATCAGGCACCACACCCATTGACTTAGAGAACCAAGCAAGCCCAGCCAGTAGTCAGGCAGCTGAGAAAACCGATGCAGCCATCGCTCGTCCAGCACTCACTTCTCCCAATGTCCAGGATGGGAATGTAGTACGCTAAAAATAATGCCATGCCTATCCCAATTCCCAACCCCGCATCTCACGTTTCCACGGGGCAGCCATGGTCTTACGATCTGCCCTTCGAGCACTTCACCACCCAATAAGCTCGCCCCGATTTGCCAGAGCTGATGGCACCCAACGCAAGGTGCCGCGCGCACACTGCCTCGGCATGGCTTGGCATTTGTGCGATCTGCCCCTCCCTTATCCAAATGGCGAGGTCTAGACCCCTTGCCTGACACACGGGCACACATGAATCTGTGCAAGATCACAGTCACACGACTCGCTCTACTCGTGTGATGGGCGGTTGTTGGATGGTGCTGGCGGAGTAGGAACGAACACAAACTTTCGAGCCATTGAGCTTTGGGGCGATGCGATGCTGTGGTACCATTCAACACTGTTCTTAGAGTTGCATACAAGAGAGGGTAATTACTTGGTACAGCAACGAGCCCCGCCTCCAATGCGAGTTGTAATATAACATCCCAAGTCTGGGAGTTTCTGCCATGCAAACGCCTTTATAGATATTGCAAAACTCTTCACTTGAACACGGCCACAGTTTCGCCCTGGCACAATCATCTCTTTCCTCATGTTTGATCTGGTCTTCTGAGTCCGCAGACCCCACAAACCCCGCAATCCCCAGAGTTTCGGTAGGCACCATCTTTGCACAACTCGCTAGAGCATCGCCAAGAGTTCGGGATGGCGGCAGGGTCAATGACGTTGGCACATATTTCGCACGTGAGGCGGCGAGGCGGGTTGGTATAGGAACACGTCAAGCACACCACATGCGTGTCCCCCGTTTGATGTGTTGTATCAGCGTCGTTGCCGTCCGCACCTAGCACATGTGTGTCTCCGCCCCCGAAAAGTTCCCTCAGGGTTGTGGTTCGTTGCTCAACCTTGATTGGACTGGACGGGGGCTCTTTCTTCTCCTTCTTTGGATGTTCCATGCTGGAGCTGGAAATGGACGGTGGCTCGGGGCTTTCCTGCTTAATCTTGCGGCCCATGAACACGTCCCGAAGCTCCTGGAACTCGCTCTCTGCCCCAGGGTCGTCTTTGTCCTCGTCCCCACACACCTTCACCATACCCCTACCCTTGCCGTCGACAAGCGGCTTACCATCCACATCAACGGCGGGCGTTGCGCCAGAGGTGTGCACGTCTTCCTGATCGTCCTCGGTGTCGCTCCCTGATTCAGTCTCATCTTCATCCTTCTTGATGACAATTGGCTCCTCTCGCTGTTGCTCGAAACGTGCGAGGGCGGCAGCCGCCCGAAGCTCTCTGCCCCTTGCACTTCCCGCCACTCGAGGTTTCCCCTGGACCTTCTTCCCCTTCTCCAGCTTCACCTTGACCTCCACGTCCTCGCCAAGGGCCACGCCGTTCTTCCCAAACTTCTTCTCGATCCGCCTCTGCTTTCGTTCCTGGTAGCTTAATACCGGTCTGGCATTTTTCCGCTTCCTCGATCGAAACGTGCCCCCGCATAGGTGCTCAGGCAGCACTTCCCCAGGCTGCACCGTGTTCCTCTCCCACTCTCCAGTCCCCAGCTTCGCACCGCGACCCCACACCCCATCGCCAGTGTATCCCCTCCCCCAGAGGGCCCGCATCTCAGCAGCGTAGCCATTTCGCACCGCCCAAAAGGCACGTGAGTGGTTCATCTGCTTGCAGTGCGCCAGCTCGTGCATCATCACCATCTGGACGTACTCGAATGGCAGCCACCTGCCCGACGTCGGGGATTTCAGCACGAGCTGTATGACCTCGCCCGCATTGAAGTTGCGCCCAACGAACTCGCGGTTGGGTGGGAACTCCTCAAGGGACATTACGTAGATGTGGTGGTCTCGCATGACGGGCACTGAGAAGATGGGTGTGTTGTGTTAGCACAGCATCCCGAGTAAAGGCCGGAGCAGTCATGATGAGTCTGCGAAATGGACGGCTACCCACGGCATTGTGCTGCTATTCGCTCCAGGAATTCCTGTGCGCGGCTCTCGTCCGGCCCTTGTAACGGCTTGATGAAATTAATGTGACGGTTGGGCTGTGATTTCCTCACGTTTAGGCGCTCGACTCCCAACGGCATGCTGAGCTGCCTCGTTCCGACAACGGACCGAACACGTAATTGACATATGAGTAAAACAGTAAACTGACAGGCAGTGAGGGTGATGAAGTTGGAATATTTTGGTCGTTAAGGTTATGTAGGCGATGGTGATAAGGGCGATAAGACGGCCTTATGAAATCACTGACGCGTATTGGGGCTCGCGAGAAGGAGCGCGATGTCACGTGCGCGGTTGCACTTTAATTGAGGTGTACAACCCCATTCGAAACCAGGGTCAACTCTTGCACATTTTGCTGTCTGGTTCTAATACTAATGCCTCGCCGGAATCCAGTGGCTTTATCCGTATCACGTACACTGGAAGGGTGCCGTTGTTTCTATTGACTACCGGAGCTCGATCCTGCTTGGCCGTACGACACTACAGGAGAAGACCATCACTGAGTTGTCGTAATTCAACCACCAGAGATCGGTCATCTTCATGATGTAACCCAAAAGAAAATTGCTATTATATAACAGAGTGAAAAAAAAACAAGTTTCCCTCTAGTTGCAGGTGAGACTTGGTTCCTCATGGTCAATGACCACCATGGCAGGGCCAGCCATCGATCAATCTCATCATTATTAAAAAAAAATTGCGGCAAGACAATAGCTAGTATATTATTGCTCTCTTATTTAGGCTAAGTCTACGAAAAGACACCGAATACTCGTTGGGAGAACATGCTAGAAATCTCAAAAAACAATGAGACAGACAATACCACAATCGCACAACAGCACCACACAATAATAAAACAATGACACATCATGCCATTTGGGTATAAATTCCTCCTCAGGGCTGCTTGAGTTGAATTTATTTTCCTTCTTCACTCAACATTCACAGAACAACAGCGCCAGGATTTCGCAGACCACTTACGTGTGAGGTCCAGGGCTGGGCAGTTCATAATAGCGCTGAATGTAGCGCTTTTGCTTCGAAGACAACTGCTCCCCAACTGCGGATTCATCCTCATTGTCTGCCCAAAAATCTGCGTTACTCAATGGTATACCGAAGTGCAAAAGCACTACCTAGAGGTGAGAACAGACCAGTCTAATATTTGGGATGAACATCACAAGTTTCTAATCTATTGCCTAGGAAACATGGCCCAAGGTCTATGTCCTTGAAAAGAACAACTGGACCCCCCAGGAACTCCTACAGTACGATATTGTCATCTGTAGTGAAGGGTTTCTCAGATCTTGAGCCAAAGAATTTCACGAATATGAAGCCTACCACATGTTCAAACATCGGAGATCACCAGAATGGCTCAAATCAAAGGGACTCGATTCGGCTGAAAAGTTTCTTATGGCGCCACTACATTCCGAAGTCTGTCGTCAATGGCCCATGTCATTTTCCGAATGTACCTCGCTGTGGCGATGAGCCTGATCAGCTGCAATGGAACCATTACATATTTATCATCAGCAAATGACACTGTCGTCCTAGTGAACAAGTCGCTACTCCTTTTCCGCGAATAACGACATAGTGCATCTGAAGGCGATACACGAGCACATGCGCAAAATTCAGTCCCTAATTGCGGCTGACCTTCTTCGATATCGAGATTCGCTAGAGCTGGATTTGTCCCAAACAAAGAAGGAGTATTTCCACCAGGCCAGCCTCTCGAGACCAGGTACTCAAATGTGGTTGGCTGGGTGCAACTTCTGTTCACAGACCCATCGGTAGCCAAATCCGCAGCGAACGGCAAGGGTCCTGCGCAGAGTGAAATTGGCGAACTTTCACGCCTCAAGACCCAGTGCAAAAACCTGTACATGGCATGTCTGAATGGAGACATGGCCAGCTACAGGGGCAAGATGCGCAGTTTTACAACTTATCTACCGGACCCCGACCTGGTCTTTGCGTCGCAGTTTGTTGATCCTTTCGGATTCTTCAACGGCGTTGTTGCGAGCGCATTGGGGGCTGCCGGTTACAGCCACTACATGGAACTAGAGCACAATACAGCACAGGCACGGAGTGTGCCATCAGATCAGAACCAATCGCTGGTCTGGGCCGTAACTAATGTCAATCATCGCATCGCTGAGCTTGAAGCTCGGCATAAGACTGATAATGATCAACTGAAAAGCAAGTTTAGGGATGAGACTGATAAAAGCAGCCAGCCAGATTTATCCTTTTAGTGGCTGTCAGAATAACAGGATTGACTGCAAAGTCACCTCGACAGAATTATTGTGGCAGTCAGTACCATAATAATGTTCCCTATTGTGTAATAGTAAGCAGATCATGTTGCCTAATAATTACTCAATAATTTATTATTATCATTGTTAACCATCTTTTACTAATATCGTGCTGTATGTATATCAGAAATTTGGGATTCAAACAGCTTTGCAGCCCCTCATTCTGCCTCCTACTTGCTCTATACCGCCTGATATCAGAAGGGTTTCTGCTATCTAAGGAGGGCCCAACGGAAAATTTCAAGGAGCCAGCAGCAAGCGCGGTGCAAGCTGCTATGACAGAGAACAGTGTAACGGAATATACTAAGAAAGTAGTAGAATCCACAATGGAATCCACGATTCAGATTATTCCAACGGGGCAGGGAGCTCCCAGGGAGACTAGATTAGCGGCGAATCAAAAGAAGCGAAAGAGAAAAGCATCGGTTGAGTGGAAAAGTTCATGGCCGATTATAAACCCTTTCTTCAAACCCGAAAAGCATGTGTGTCTATGAGAGTCTTCTCTGAGTGCAATAACTGGCATCGTGCATGATGCATCACTAACTTTAAGATAACAAACAACATTTACCCTGAGGAGGCCCCTCATACAGCGACCGCAACCTTGAAGAACCTTTCGTAGCTTTCTGATTTTCAACTGTTATGTTTTTCCCCATTCAGTAGGAACTGTCCCAAGCCAGTGCTGTCCGGCTGTCTCTCCTGTATAATGACCTGGGTGTCCTTGCGGACCAAATGCTTCTCTAGCATGGTGATGACTTGCTTCTTCTTGACAACATTCTCCATCATGAAGATATCAATAGCTGAAGATTAAGCCAGGATTTCCCATACGTGTACCTTGCGTCGTTGCGGGATCCTACGAACTCTTCCAATAAACTAGTCCTTCTAACCAGGTGTCCACAATGGTGCTGTTAGAACTAGATGTGATGCGCCGTGCATATTCACACTTACTCCTCCAACACCGGCAGTAACAAGCAGGGCCCTGGTATGATTATCTGATTCGTTGAACTCGGAGATAGTTGTGGCTCGTTGATCGATATCAACAGTACCGTTGAATTCAGAAAGTTTGAACTGCAACACTTCATCTTCTCTGGTTAAGCGGTCTGAAGCCTCTTGTATAACATCCAGGAATAGAAGAGGTGAGGATGCAATAACCATGCCTTCTCCAAGGAACTCATCTGCAATTCGCTTTACAGTGGGCACAACTGCTTGGACCCTGGGCGTGAAGATCTCGATATCAGGAAATGTGTTCAGCTTCCTTTTCCACTGTATGGTGAAGGCATAGTTGGACGTAGTCTGACGGCGTTCTTGAGGTCCGGTCTTCTTGCCTTCATCGTCGAGTGTCCCTTGCTCGTACTCGATCTCATCGACCAGTTCCACGTCCCCAATCTCAGGATCATATATTTCGTCATTCTGATCATCGGCGTAGATGAAACCTTCGTCAAGACTCTCTTGGGCCGCTATATTGACCATATCCTGCTCGTTGATATGGTCATCATTGAAATGATTGTCATTTCTTAAAAATAAGCCATTCTCAGATTCATCATCTGGACTACCTCTTCTACTGGCAGCAGGGATTACCAACTTCAATCTCGAAGGGTCGCGACAATCCTGTCGGAACTCCAAGAACTCATCCCGAGTCAGTTCGTCCATTTGGGTTTGTCGATCCATGCCTTTACATGTCAAAAACTCTTCGAAGAGGCTCTGGACATCAAGGATCGCTGGATTCTAGGATATATGACAGTCCTGAGCCTTCAAGACGACAGGGCATGCAGCATACTGCTGCACTCTAGTCAGGTGCCCAAATGGCTGCGCTTTCAGTTGATCTTGGATCGCCCGGTTTCGTGGTTGGGCGGCTTTAGGCAAGAGTTTTCGCCCGCGGCTCACATGAGTCTCTATAACGATGAGAATGAAGCGGTGACAGTCAAATCCGAACGAGACTTTGTGAACCTCGGTAGGAGGAAGTTTAATGACGTCCAGGGGCCGAGCAATCATTGCCCCCGCCAGGAGTCTCTTCATGAACAAGCAACCCGGGGACTGGGGATCATCTATAATGTCACCGGCTATGTCGCGAAATTCGGTCTCGTTGATACGGAATGCTCTGCAACCTGTCAATAATGCTAGCTGGCCACATTGGTCGCGCCATGTGTTATAGATCGGTGTTCCAGTCAAGAGAATTGCGTGAAGATAAGGAAGCGATCGAATACCCTCGTTGAGTTGAGAGTCAAGTCTCTTTGCAAGGTGGGACTCGTCGATAATAACTGCGGCGATCTTCTTGTTGTGTTGAGCATAGTATGACGAAGATGGGCAATCATTATCACCTTTTCGAGAAGGCTGCAACAGCAGCGAAGGCCTACAGAGAAGATGACGGCAAAAGCTTCCTGTTTATCAAAGACTGCCCCGAAAACCTGTCCTGCGTCGGACGAATCTTACCACGAGAACCAAGGAAAGGGAGAGAACCGACGAAACCAAAAACCAGAGAGCCTTGGAAGAAGACTGATGAACCCCAGAAAGAAGGTATTCAGATGTCTCTTTCAGAGTGGTAATTCTGGGTTTGGATTGAGTGATTAGATGCTTGACTTGGGATTTTTGACTTTGCGTTTTTGGGTTCATTTTTTTCGTTTTCTTGTTTTTTTTCCCGCCTTTTTGAAGTTTCAGTTTTCAAGTTGAGGAGTTATAGTGTTGTTGTTAGGATCGCTGTGAGAGATTTGCCCATCCCCATAACATCGCAAATCAAGCCACCTCCGATCTCTGATCGACACATCTCGATGAGCTTTTCGGTCCCAGTGCTTTGATGGGGCAGCGGTGTCATAAATGGCCAAGGGAGAAATCATTGCCTTCACGACTTGTGATCGAGTTCAGTCGTGCCTATTGGAATTAATAACGAGGTTCTTGGAGGTGTGGATGGTGTTAGGATTATATGTTGGGTTAATTTTAAATACCAGAAGTTGACTGTGCAGTGGTCCATAAGTGTAGTTAACGAGAGTCCTCAAACTCTCGTTAAGAGGGTCGTTGCGGGCATCATCCACAGGGCCATCTTCCGAGTCTGAACCCTCTAGGACGGCACGAATATGTTCTTTGTGCGCGGAATCGGTATCAAAGTGTTGGAAGTGATATCCTGGAGGGTACCTGCGCCGAAGTTCATGTTTCTTTAGAATAGCTTCAAGTATCTTGATGCGGTCTCCAGGTGCCCTTGCGAAGTATCGTTGACACTCGCGGACGCATTCATCGACCGCCTGGCTAGCTTCCTTGGTGATTTCTTCGAGGGTAGGCATGATAAGGCAATAAATTGATTGGAAGTTGAGGCAAGGCAGGGAAGAATTTGTGATAATAAATAAAAAGTTGGATGAAGCGCGGGGATGAGGGGAGAGGAAAGAAGAGAAGAGAAGAGAAGCAAGAAGGTGAGAATAAATAGGCAATGGGAGTGGGGCAGGCTCCTGCAAATTGCGTCTAGAAAAACAGAAAACAATAAAACAGTAAAACAATAATCATCAGGTAAGTATAAAAGCCCCATCCTTCTCAGTCGGGGTTGTTTGTTCCTGCAGTGAAAAGAAGTAGGCTACATTGTGAATGTCTCCATATCGCTCGCTGGTATCCATATTCTGGCCAAACTTCGATAGAAACTGGTGGTCAGAATTGTTTTGATTTGAACCGCTTTGATTTCGAGACTCTTTCAAATATAATTTTATTGCTGCAACCGGGCTCTTTCGCGTAGCTTTCTGGCTGTTGGATATCCCAACGATATCAAGCGAGTATGCTCCAATTGATAAGGATGATCCGTATCAATAGTACCAGAGCTGGTGGATACAAGTTTGACCATTTCCAATGCCCTGCTGAATATCTTCGATTTCTTGAGAATGATAGCAACTGGGCACAATCATCGGACAGCATGATTACTGAATAGAATAATAAGCAAACAACATAACAATAGCATGAAACAATAGTACAATCATAACACAGTAGGTACTGTTATAGATTTCCCTTTTCCTTCTACCTTTTATAGAATAATCCTCATAAAAGCCCCCAGTGAAGACAGAATATGAGTTCTCTGCAATGATTGTAGTAACACTAGTCCCTTTGCGAATTGCAGTCCCTAGGGCGAGCACAAGATGGAAAGGAACACAAAGGCTAGTCAGAGGACGAAGAGCCTCGTTAAAAGATGAGATGTTTACTTCTCAATCGGACAGTGTGACAAGGATGATAGCAATGATGACTATGAGTCGGGAGAAGATGCTATAGAAAGTGAAGAGAGCGAGAAAAAGTCAACTTCGGAGGGCAGTGAAGATGCAATGGATAAATATGATTAAGAGACGAGATTTCAAGGGTGACCCTAAACCGAGCAAGCCCTTCAAAGCACGGAAAGTCTGGGATACCATAGTCGAGATGTATTCCAAGACCTGAAGTGCTTCTATCTGATCAATATCATTTGCTACCAATCAGTCTGTTGAATCTGTGAAGTCGGTGCTCGGCCTGCAGTAGACGCACAAGGTCAGTAAAGCCCACACCATCCAACCTCGTTTCCGGTATTCCACTCAGGCTTCTCTATCCTGCGAGGTAAATTCAGACGCAAAATGTTTCTCTTGGTATAATTTTATCTAAAGGGCAAGGCTATCTTAACCAAGTCTCGCATCAGACCCATTCGCCAGTCCGGCAACTCTTCTCTTGCCAGAACTGGTAGCCCCCCGCAAGAAATGGATTTATAAGAAATGAGAACTCCTTGTTAAACCTTTCTACATCTACTATCACCATATGGTATCTATAGGACAAGTAACCTAATGATCCCTATATTACTTTTTAGGGCTCAAGTCGTATGAGTTCATTCGCCAGATGCCTGTCACATTAGAAATGATAGAACTGTCTCCCAAGGCGAGACATGCACAAATATTGAAAATATAGCTGGGCATGTACGCAAGCATTCTCTCGCGATTTCAATTGATTCTAGCGAAATTGTAAAGAGAGGTCTTACACTCCCACCCGGTTGCCTCTATTCCAATGTTCCCGTTGCGCGCACCTTCCAATATCATTTGTGAACCACAAAATCTAATCTTCAGCCTCTATTTTCGCTCGTCGTTTGCTCGTCGTTCGCTCGTTATTTACTTGTTATTTACTCGTCCTTTACTTGTTATTTGCTTATTATTTGCTTGTTATTTACTTATCGTTTGCTCGTCGTTTGCTCGTCGTTTGCTCGTCGTTTGCTCGTCGTTTGCTCGTCGTTTGCTCGTCGTTTGCTCGTTGTTTGCTCGTCGTTTGCTCGTCGTTCACTCGTCGATACTATTTCCCCTTTCCCTTTTGCCTATTAGTTTAAAGAGCGTGCCTTCTTTGAGGCCCCAGCCGTCGATTGCGCAGTCAAAAGGCGCTTCCCCTTTCCCTTTCCGGTGTCGGTTGATTCGTCGGTAGTTTTAGGAGCAGGTCTGCCAGCAGGGTGAGTGGTTCCGGTTTCAAGCGATGCGGGAAGTCTCGCATGGGTGATCTTCGTGACCTTAGACAGGTGGTCAAGTCTCAGCTGCTTGAAGTCTTCCGTCAGAACACCGAGTTGCTGGCCGAAATTCTTCACTCGAGAACCGGATGTGACTACATCAGTATGGTCTTTAAAGAACTTTTCCAAACGTGCATCGAGCTTCTGATCGAAAATCCTGTCCACTTGCCGCTCGATCAATCGCTGAATCTCTTTGCCCGTCGGGGTCTGCTCTTCGTGGTCAAGAGGGACGCATTTTAACCCTTTGGGTGCGTTGATGGAACCGTGGCCCTTTCTGTCCAGCCACTCACCACATGCTTGATCGACCAATTCCTCGATACCCTTTGATGTCAATTTCGCGGATCCAGTTTGCTGATAGTTTTCAGAGCTCTTTTGGTGCTTCGCCGATGGGACCATGGTCGCGTAATCGCTGACATCCGGACGCCAGTTGGGGTAGTGTTTGAGTGCATCAGAAATGGGCTTCTTATTCTTCATGTACTACCCAGGAAACACAAACATGAAGAGTATAATGTAGACGAACGAATTCGTCCTCTTGTACTCTCTCGCCAAGGGGTGTGCATTACAGTCGTGCAAGAACGATGGCCGTTAGTAAGGATACTTGAGGCCATCGAGAAAGGCTTTCTAGTGGAATAGGCGAAGGTTTTGGCCTTGTTCACTCCAGGACTCCGACGCCCGAGCGAAGTATTCTTGATTGTCCCGGTGGACAGTCTTTGGCCACCAAGTGGGTGAAATCAAATAAAACATGGCACATCGAGATAGTTCAGCATTAAATTTCAACACAATATCACTATACATAACCTAATACTGAATACAATATCAAGCTAAATATTTCGAAACAGTTTATTATTCTCTTATTATTGTATTTAGTTAAAAACGAGGTCCCTGGTGGCTTACGCGGAAAGAGCTTTGGTTTGCCATGTTTTATTCCACCCACTTGGCCACTCATCACATGGAGGCCCAGTGGTTGGCTTCATCGGATCCCCTCTCAGGGCCATCGGAACGTCGCCTTGGACAGGCTGAGACTTCATCGAGATTTTTTTTTTTTTTTGGAGATTCGAGAGCGGTCTGAATCGTCGGCATCTGAGAAGTCGCCGTTGCTTGCCATTTCAATAGCAGATGCAAGCGTTCGGATCTGTTGGGAAATTCTTCGCAACGTATGACTTAATGTTGCTCAACCCAGTCCTTCTTTGGATGGTTTCAGGACTTACCAGAATATCAATGAGAATGATTGCTCAAGGGAAGTGTATGGGCAGATAATGAATTGGATCTGGCCTGTATCCGCGTAGAGCTGAAGATATCTCAGAGGTGTGTAGATGTAGGTAAGATGAAAGTGAGAAAGAGTTTTGAAATGTGAGAAGAGAGTGAGAAATTTATATACCTACCTACCTGGGCAAAAAGGGAAGGCACCACCTAGGTAGGTATCTCCCAAAGGAACAATTAATAAAGGAAGGAACAGTGAAGAATAATGTCTCAGGCCGCTATCCTATTTAAAAGAGAATCTCACGGCTCTCTCCCGGTCGGCTCATTCTTCTCCTCTATATATTTTTTTCCTCTCGGCGCGCTATCCTACTATATACTATATAACAAATGCCATCGGAACTGAAGCAGTTTACCCGTTACCTGGAGAGAATTCACAACCTCCCTAAATCGACAGATCAAAACCTCGAGTCATCGGAGTCATCGTCTGAGGGTTCAGACTCCGATTCCGACGAGTACAGCAGAGAGATTTCCCAGACTGTGAAGAGAACTGCCAGAACCAACCAATTCAAGCGAATAAAGACGGAAGACGGGGATGCCGCCGGAGCTGCTCGTTGGGAGTTCGAGATTGAGTTTGCCGAGCAATATAACGACAACAAGGCCCCATCGAATCCAGCACCTCAGCCACCAGGTGGAATTACGGTTGGAAATTATACTTGCCACCCGATACAAAAGACTCCTTGTTCGGAGGCGTTCTTAAGCCAACAACGCCAACAATACAAATAACACTCGTAGTCGATCTCGGTTTAGGGTCACCCACCTCAGACTGAATGCAGAGTCAAGCGACTGGTATAAAACATAGCACATCTAGACAGTTCTGCGTTGAATTTTGACACAATATTGGAATAATTGACCTGTCAATAAATGCTTTTCAAGCTAAATATCATAGACTAATTGATTATTCTCCTACTATTGTGTTTAGGTAGTTGAAAATTAGGTCCCTGCTGTACACGACAAGAGCTTTGGTGTGCCATGTTTTATTTCACTTGAGAATATAGCCTTCCTGCTCGTTTTCGTTGCTCCTCAGAACATTTGAAGGTAGCACACATTTACGCTGGATCCAATTCGAAACAATTCGATACACTGGCTACTTCTCATTGAAGTAGAGAGGAACACCGTTACAGTTCCTGCTCGTCTAACGCCGACTTGCATGAATGAGCGAGGACAAGGGGGCTGACGGATCCGTTGTGACCAACGCCAGAATCGCAGGAGGGAGAGGCGGTGGGTTTGCGAGTCGGGATAGAAGATAGAATAAAATGGAAGGGTTTGAGAATATGGTAGGGTCCCTGACCTTAGTTGCGGGTCTAAAGCCGTGAAGCACAACTCGCACCAAGAATGGGGTATACAATGTCGACGAGTGACCCAAGAAACACCTTGGACATTTACCATTGAGGCTACCAAGTTTCAAGATTCTAGCATGGAAACACTTGAAACTATCACCATCACATCGAAAATTGAGCACGTCAAAAGAATCAGTCAAGTAAGGAGACAAATGAAAATCAGTTGAATTTTAAGCTCTCTCACTCCGGCCCTAGAAAGGATATGGACGACTTTAATACTTCTTATGGTACAGCCACCAGTATCATCTACGTGTATCCCCCGCTTAAGCTACACTTATGCTACCTGGCAGAATGATAACCTCTTTAACCGAGGAAGCTCTTGGTGAAGCTAGTAATGACATTCTCGAGCTTGGCCTCGAGGTCCTTGCTGAGAGCGCCCTCCTTGTCGATGGTAGCGAGCAACTCAGACTCGTTGGTCTTGAGGTGGGCGAGGAAGTCGGACTCCCAGGAGAGAATCTTGCTGACAGGGACGTTGTCGAGGAAACCACGGACACCGGCAAAGATCAGAGGAACCATCTCGTTGACAGCCATGGGGGAGTACTGCTTCTGCTTGAGAAGCTCGGTCAACTAATATAGGTCAGTGATACTTAGTTCTCTAAACAAGTGAGTGTACAAGGGGAATAACTTACGCGCTCACCACGGTTCAGGGTCTGCTTGGTAGCGGCATCAAGATCAGAACCGAACTGGGCGAAAGCAGCGACTTCACGGTACTGGGCCAAGAAGAGCTTAAGAGAACCAGCAACCTGCTTCATGGCCTTGAGCTGGGCAGCAGAACCGACACGAGAGACGGAAAGACCGACGTTGATGGCAGGTCGGATACCCTTGTAGAACAGCTCAGACTCCAAGAAGATCTGGCCATCGGTGATGGAAATAACGTTGGTAGGAATGTAAGCAGACACATCACCACCCTGGGTCTCAATGACGGGGAGGGCAGTCAAGGAACCGCCACCGTGGGTCTTGTTGAGTTTGGCAGCACGCTCGAGGAGACGAGAGTGGAGGTAGAAAACATCACCGGGGTAGGCCTCACGACCGGGGGGACGACGGAGCAGCAGAGACATCTGGCGGTAGGCGACGGCTTGCTTGGAAAGATCGTCGTAGATCACGAGAGCGTGCTTTCCATTATCTCTGAACCATTCTCCGATGGAGGCTCCAGTGAAGGGAGCGATGTACTGAAGAGGAGCGGCCTCAGAGGCGGTAGCACTGTCGATAATGGTTAGTTCCAAGTTGGATACAATAAGGATTGCTGGGAAAGAAACTCACGCTACGACAATTGAATAAGCCATGGCATTGTTCTCCTCGAGGGTCTTGACGAGCTGAGCGACGGTAGATCGCTTCTGACCAACAGCGACGTAGATACAGTAGAGCTTCTTGTCCTCGTCGTTGGTGCTGTTCCATCGCTTCTGGTTGAGGATGGTGTCGAGAGCGACGGCAGTCTTGCCGGTCTGACGGTCACCAATGATCAGCTCACGCTGACCACGGCCGATGGGAACCATGGCGTCGACAGACTTGAGACCGGTCTGCACGGGCTGGTTGACGGACTGGCGGGGCAGGATACCGGGGGCCTTAAGCTGAGCACGGCGCTTCTCGGAGGTCTTGATGGGACCCTTGCCGTCGATGGGGTTACCGAGAGCATCGACGACACGGCCAAGCATCTCAGGGCCGACAGGGACATCCACCTAGAATTGGTCAATGAGTTAATCCCAACCTGGAGGCTTCTCATGTTGGTGCAACTCACAATTTCACCGGTACGGCGGACAGTCTCACCCTCCTTGACAAGACGATCGGTACCGAACAACACAACACCGACCTGGCCAGCCTCGAGGTTCATGCACATTCCCTTGACACCGGAGGCGAACCTATGCCATGTTAGAGATTATGCTCGATTGACACAAGGTCAGCTCAAGGGAAAGGGCAAACATACTCAACCAGCTCCTCAGCCTGGACATTGGCCAAGCCATGGACACGGGCGATACCGTCACTAAGCACTCCGGTTAGTATTACAACCCAACACGTCATTTATGAGGATTATCAAAGCCAATGCATCATGGTCGAGGTAGATGCATTTGCGACACCGTTGCCGGAACGCCTGGCAGTAATCTTCTCAGAGCTCCACATACCCGACGGAAAGGACGCGGCCAGTCTCAGCAAGGCCAGACTCCTCCTGAACACCTCGAATGCGCTGCTCAAGGATGGAAGAAACCTCGGTCGGGGAAGCCTTGGCGTCGGCGGCGTAGAAGCGAGCACCGTTGACGACAGCTGGTGCGGCATTTCGGACCTATGAGGTGAAAAATACAGTTAGCCGAGATCCAACCTCAGATCCACGGTGGGAGTCCCTCGCAGCGACCCAGGCCTCCAAACAGCTCAAAAAAGCTCAAAAAATTGAACCAATTGTGCAATTGGTTCCCCAGAATATCTTTCGGGTGCGTGCATGATGGTACGGGGTGGTGTTTCGATGGCGTTGGCGGTCTCCAGGTCGTCGGAGCAATGGGAGTGCAAAGACTTACCGCAGCGACCCTGCCTGCGGCAGAGACGGCGCCGATGGCGCGGGTGGACTGGCGAACAGCGTTGCGGAACATATTAGAGGAGGTATCTGAGGGAAGGAGACGAAAGGAGAACAATTGCAGCGAGGTGCAATTGGGGGAGGGGAGATTGAGGCGTGGGTTGTTGCCTTTGCAGAGAGCAATTCGGGAGATTTTACAGGAGCGAGTGTTGGAACGGAGGAACAGAGCAGAACTCTGAGGGAGATTAGTGGAGCCGATCTCCCGACCAACCAATCAATTCCCGAGTGAGCGGTTTTGCCCTGGAAATCCCGAATCGTCTTGGCCTGGGGCTAACAATTTTCCACCCTGTTACCTTGGTAAGGCCTCGCTGTAGGCGTTAGTACGACTGTGGCCTTCAGTGCCTCAGGCCGGACACAGAGCGCTCGGTGCGCTAGTACCGCCAGGTCCACAGCCAATATCAGCTACGGTCTACCGGGACAAACACGTACATCAACCTCAGGCATCACCATTGGCCTTGCGCAATGGGCAGCTAGCGAGCAATTGAGCAATTGATACCTACCAGCTTTAAGTCCTGTGCTGGAGATTTCGATTCGTAGAGTAGTGGCTCTGTGGAGAGAAATCAATTGGATCAATTTGCCCCTTCACCTTGCCATGGCCATCTGTGAGGGGTCTGCGACGTGACATGTCGCATTGCCGACCGAGCGTGCCATCCGCCCATCACAGCGTCAGAACGCATAAAGGTGTCCATAGGAGGTACCGACTGACCTAGCTTTTAGAGTTGTGAGCCAACCGATGCTTGTATGGACTCACATAAATACCCGACAATACTATCTGTCCTCAAATATGTTACTTGGTATTGTATGGTTTTTATGCCATTGCCTTCATTGAACTGCTGAGGCCACTCTTAGTTCTGATTCGTTAGGCTGTCCGAGCTGGGGTAACTGGGGTTCAGCTGACCTTCCCAGCTTGGCACAAGTGGGTGACGATGCCTATCAAATCGCCGCCCAGATCCCATATCAAGCTCATATTCTACGTGTATTTATCGATTGGAATAACAGCCAAAACAACAAGCAAGCAACGTACTAGAGATCTGAGGAGCCCCTCGATGTCTCGTTGCTTGTCGTGTCATATAGTTACCATCTTGGTTGACCCAATGGGTATTCATATCACTGGGTTGAGTGGTTTCTCGCACTTGTTCGTCTCACCGATGCTCTGGGCATGGCCGCTGAGGACTGCAAGCAAGCACAAGGTGCGAAAGAATCAATCCATGGGACGAGGGCGTGGGCCACTGGGGTATATATCTCCTCAATCATGAGAAGCCAACAATATCTCAAGGCACTTGCGAATGTCAATTGAGGCGAGTCATATGGTGGAAAGAAACTACCTCTGCCAGCGCGAATGGCTGCTAGCAGAGTTGTAGTCGACGTGCATCACATTCAAGATGGATTTGTACGGAAGCCGGCATGGGCGCCGGTCGGTCTCTGAGGCCGTAGCTCGACTCGATTTCGGTTCGAGCTGATGCAAAGCAGGAAATACATGACCGTGTAACCCTTTTTTCCCCTAAACATTCGCCATAACCATCCCTCAAAGACAAACAAAATAATCCGTTTACCGGACAATGCCCTCGAAGCGCTGCTTGAACCACTTGACGGTCTCATCGCGCTTGATGCGGTGGCTGGCACCGATGCGAGACTTCATGCGGCGGCGGCGAGTAACACGCTCACCGGGACGAGTCATGCAGCAGTAGAAGTCCATGCCGTAGATACCGATGGAGGGGTCGTACTTGATACCAAGATCGATGTGTTCGCTGATGCCGAAGCCGAAGTTGCCGGTCTCAGAGAAGTTGCGCTTGCGGAGCTCGTACTCCTTGACCTTGAGGCCACGCTCGAGAATTTCCTCGGCCTGTTCAATGGTTAGACAATTATCTTTTGGTCGTATGCAATTACTGCCAAGGGAAAATCAATTTCGTACCTTGGGGCCACGGACGGTGACGTGGACGGAGATCTTTTCGTTACGACGGATACCGAAGGTACGGACAGTGTAACGGGCCTTGCCTAATTTTTGGATTAGACACGAGGAATAAAATCACTGTTCAGAATATTGCGACGTACTGTAGACGGGAGTCTGACCAGAAAGCTGCTCGAGCACCTTGGCGGCACGGGTGAGCCTGTCACCAGATTCACCGACGGAGATGTTCAGAACGAGCTTCTGAACCTTGAGCTCCCTCATGGGGTTGCTTGTCTTTTCGGCGGCCATTGCTGCGGTGTTAGTCGACGACGTGGGTTGTTGATGGTCGTTGAACTAAGTTGACTTGTGAGGGTGGGCAGGATTTTGTGAAGCATAGAAAAATTCGAGGGTTTCTCTGCCCTCACACTTGTTCGGTGAAAAAGCGGGGTGCGTCATTCCGAAAGTGTACTAGCGTAGTTTGGAGGTACATCCTGCTTGTATCTCCGCCTTTCGCATTAGGCTCCGCAAATTTTGGACCTCATCATAACCTTCAATCGCATCTCTTTTGAAGGTCCCAGTCACGGTCGCGTAGAGGCTGTTGATAGGAAACCAATTTTTTGAAAACGAGAAGCTGCATAGCAATCTCATACACACAACCGCCAAGATGTCGAACAAACAAGGAAAGATGGCAAGTCAAACCCTCCCCATGTTGCTATTTGTTTCTTTATAGACCACCTTGCTAACTATTCTTGCAGGCCGGTTACGTACGTATACCACCCTCACCGACTCTTCCTCCCTCTTACCTTCAGCCCTACATTGATCGATGAACAGTTCGCCTAATTGACTCGGGTGTTGCAGATTAACTGGCGGATGCGCGTCACTCTCAACGATGGCCGCTCCATGACTGGTCAGATGTTGGCCTTTGACAAGGTGTGAAGCTTCGAAAACGCGTTGACAAAGTCCCAGCTAACCTGGTTTAATAGCACATGAACTTGGTTCTCGCCGATACCGAAGAGTTCCGCCGCGTTAAACGACGACAGAACAAGTCATCTGCACCCGGCGCCAGCAGTGGACAAACGGTCGAAACTGAGGAGAAGCGAACCCTTGGACTGACAATCGTTCGTGGTGCGCACATCATCTCTCTATCCGTCGAGTCACCTCCTCCTGCAGACCCAAGCGCTCGGCTAGGAAAGAGCCAGCCAGGCGGTATCAGCTCCGCTCTGGCTGCTGGTCCCGGTGTGGCCAAACCCGCTGGTCGTGGTGCCGCCCCTCCGTCTCTTGCTGTATGAACCCTCCCCTTTTGCCTTACCGTATGATTACTCGAAGCTAACGATGACTAGGGACCCGCTGCCGGTCTTGGAGGCCCTCCTCCCGGTTTCCCAAGCTTCCCTGGAGCTCCAGGCTTCCCTGGTGCTGGGCGAGGTGGTAAGACATACATACTATCATCCAACTCGCAATACAGAAACTGATTGTTACAGGTCCTCCCCCCGGTTTCCCTGGCGGTAACTTCCCTCCTGCTCCAGGTGGATTCCCCGGTGCTCCTCCTGGTTTCAACCCCGGCGCACCACCCCCTGGATTCAATCCTCCTGGACGACGATAAATTCATGATGGCTTTGGATGATATGGGCTTTGTGAAGGGCATTAAAGAACTGCAGGGTCTAGAAAGGGATGAAAATGTATGTGAAACCTTCATGCCGCGCCTGGAGCTAGAAATCTAAGTGTTAACTCTCAAAAAAGCCCCAAGGACAGCCTTTCAAACAATGCTGCTATGTTATGATACTATTATTCCATTTGATCAGTTACGACACCTAATATCCGGTCTTGTATTACCAGCTCCTTGCTTTGAAGCCACCAGATAAATCAGTTGAGGGGTGCTCAAGCACGATAAACCAGTTCTCAGGTTAGAAATATATGTTTATAAAGACTTAACGTGCTTATTAATTGGAGGGAGAGAGTCTCTTCCCCGTTCTTAACGAAAAACTAGACAGTACACAAGGCCAAGGTTACAACTTTATTTCTTCAAATTCCAACTGCATGGCTGAAAACCCTCGCAGCAAGCTGGCTAAGGAGCCTAGCTCTATCATCCTGCGGAAGCTCCTGAGACGCAGTTAGTACAGCGACATTATTCAGACAATGGATAAGGGAGGAGAACTCAGAGATATTCGTACCTGGAAAACGGCTGCGACACTCTTCCCCTTCGCATCACGAACTGCGCCGAGTCTGTTCCCGGCAACTGCACCAGCAACCAATCCAGGTACGTTGGCAACAATGAAGCCCAGGGCTCCGCCGCTCATTCCACCAATGACGCTCCAGAACTTGCTCGTTGGCCTATTAGTGCCCTCCTCGGCCATGCCCTCCTCTCGCATCATCTCCTCGAACACATTGCCGAACTGGGCGTCTTCCGTTCGCTGCCGCTCTGCTCCACTCTGGTTCGTGAAGTAGTTCCATGCCCAAGAGAATCCGTTCTGGCCTTCTCCCTGCGGCACCTCCTCGGCGGGGTCCTCGAAGGGATCAGCCGTTGATGAGGTGGATGTGTTGAAGAGCTTGCGCTGGGCGTCGTAGTCACGACGCCTGGCGGGTTCAGAAAGAGTGTAGTAGGCATCATTGACGAGCTGGAACTTTCGTGTCCTCTCTGCTCGCTCGGGGGAGTCTGAGCCGACTCTGTCTGGGTGAGTCTTCAACGCAGCGCTATGACTCGGTTTCAGCTAGTGACTTCAAAAGACCCCGCGCTGTTGCTTGAGGCTGACTGAGGATGTGTGATGCCGTGTGAATGTAATTCCCAGCAGTTTAGATCACAACTTACCGTTTGTATGCATCGCGAATCTGCTGTGTAGTTGCGGTCTCTGAAACTTCCAGAATCCCGTCTGTAGGCTGGCTGTCAGCGCCGGTATAAGTGTGGTACAGTACCCCTGCAGAATAGCTGGTATTGTCTTACAGTAATTGGGTGGAGGGGTTCCTGAAGCCATAGTATTGGAATGTATAGGTAGTCGGGGACTATTGTTCACAAAACTTTAGGGGAAAGGAAGGGGTATGATATCCAGTTACGAGGTAAATGAACCAAAGGGCGTGTGTGAGTGGACAGATCAGTGAGATCATGATAAGGCTGCGCCAAAGAGGTGGAATCAAGGCAGGCGAAGACACTCCTCAACGTCATGTGTGGCCACACCACGTGGCTTGAACGCACGCCTGCGCCACGTTTCTTCTTCGGCAACACCAACCGAGTCCAGAATGACTCAAGGAGCAGTCTTGACCAGAGCACTGGCATGAAATAATAACAAGCAGAGGTTGAAATTTTATTATTAGCTGTCAATAAATGACAATACCAGCCACAAACTCGACTACAACTTCATAATGTTCAAATGTGTGTATCAATTTAAATGTCATCCGGTTGATCACCTACCCTTGAGCATTTAAACCTCGCCACACAAAATTCACTTTTCATTTACCAATCAGTGCCCATCATTCAAAATAGTCTTTATTTTTTTATTTTTATTATTTTTATTATTTTTTATACGTATTTATGATGGTATGCCATTGTCAACAGCGCCAGCGCGTTTGTGATTGTTAAGTTGCGGAAGATATTCATGTAATGCTCAAACTCACCATCAATGTAAACCAGTAACCCCGAAAAGCAACGCACCAAACCCGTCCAATATTATACTATAAAGTTGTGTATCCAATTTCTTTAACTCCCGTCAAATCATTACCCTCCAGATATCTCTGTGCCCGAGAAAGCGCGTCATCGATAACAAGGTCAGCGACCTCTGGCTTGCCGGCTCGTCGGTAATGGTCAGCAAGAACCCACATGTCGCGCACAACTCGGATATCGATGTCTGTGCCATGAGCAGCCTCACGCTTTCGGATTGCCATTTTCAGGTTCTCCTCCGCCAAATCCCACTCGCATCTGCCCTGCTGTATCCTGGCGAGCATCTTCCGCGCATAGGCATGGAATCTAGCCCCGGTGCAGGTTTCCGAGTCCTGCGTGCTCTCCAGGAGCGAGACAGCCAGTTCCTTTGCCTTCTCTTTATTTTGTAAATCCATCTGGGCAAATTCCAGCATGAGAGCCGCCACTCTCAGCGAGTCCGATGCATTCGATTCATCCCCAGGCTCGGATTCCCGACTCAGCGCGAGCGCCTCCAGCGCGTTAGTCATGGCTTCGCCTTTTCTCGCCAGGTTGCTTTCTCTCCGTAGGTTGGTTCGCGCATCCCATATCAGCTGCTCATAGAGCCATAGGCTATCAGAGGGCGGCGAGCTGACACGATCGCCCAATAAATCAACATTTCGTAACCAAGCCTGCCGTAGAACATGTGTCGCGTGCTGGCGCCCTTCCTCGGTCTGAAAGTCACACTTGCGAAGCTGGTGGAGAATTCTGACAAGGGGATGCTGCTTAGGTAGCCTGGCCTCTGCAAGAGCGGTGGCATGGCCAAGGAACATCCCCAATAACTGGATATGATTCTTTTGTATCATGTCGAAAATGATATCAAGCATATGCCAGATCAAGTCTGGATGGTCCACAGTCAAGACATATTCGAGGATGTAGAACCCCTTCCTTGCTGCCAGGCCGGCCAAGTTACCTTTTCCATACTTCCACATATCGAAAAAGAGCTCAAATGTTCGATACAAGGTCCGGCTATCCTCGATAGGTGGCTGGTTGGGGTGTGCCAGGTATTTGGACATTTGGTCCGACTGTATCTGGTATGTGTCAAGCTTCTCGGAGCTCCAAGACAATACGCTTCCAAGGATGACCTCAAGCCTGGCGTGACACTCGAGGGGCGAAGGCTGAAGACAAGTAAGGGCTGTAGTTTCCTGCACAAAAACTCTTGGGACGTCTTCTGCATTGTCATCTTCCTCTTCTCGCTGGAGAGGAGTGACAGGAGAAGTAGCATGTGAGTGCTTCCGATACGTTCTTTTGCGGAAATTCCACTTCCGCAGTCGTTTTTTGAACATTTGCTCACTCCAATATTGAAACCAAGTCAGCCAAACTCAGACCACCAGATCTTGCTGGGAGGAGTCGTTGGTGTTGAAGGCACAAGCCCCACTCACGTTGCAGCGAAGCCATGCTTCTTCTCAAGAATGGCCATGACTTCGTTCAACTTACGACTTTCGTCTATGTAGAGATGCTTAATGATGGATTTCTTCGATTCCCACTCCAATTCCGTGTGCTCCTTCGATGCTGGTGGCAAGCTGGCTGGCGGGGAGTGGCCTGGTAGCCGTGGCGCCAACATCGGGAGATGGTTCATGGTGAAGTAGTATTGCAGGAATAATCTCGATTCAGGGCAGCTACGATTGAGAAGGCATCATTTGCTTGTCGGAGCTTCTTCTCAACCGGGCGAATTCTCGACATGGCTACCAATGGGGATCGTTAATTGAGAGTGATGCCGGATCGCAAAATGGCGGCGCCTCTATTCATTTTCACCAAACAGACCAGGCGCTAAGGTTTCATTAGCTTCGGGGCTAGTGTTGGCTCGTTGCAAGAGCTGGTTGTGCAGTAGCCTTTGCTGACTAAACAGAGAAACCTTGCTCTCACCTCTCCGTCGCTGTTGGAACTGCACGCTACTTGATGGTGAATACGATATATTGTGCCAAGGATGAACTGAGCGGTAGTTTGGTGGATGATGCGCGATTTCACGGGGTAGCAAACGAATTCATTGCGTTTGATTATCCCAATCTGCCAAGAGAACGTCTATTGGCCGTTGAGAATACTTCCTCGGTGTGAGTGAAATTGAGTGAGAACATGAGCTGAGTGTCTGATGCATAAAACCGTATGCTCTTAAACTGTGAAATAGCAACGTAACAACTCATGGACTGCAGTTGCCAATATCGTTGATGGTGGTACTCTAACTGAGGTTTGAATGTCATCCAATCAGATTTTGGCCTGTGAAGAGCCTTAGATCTGACTAAGCTAGAGCTCCACCGACCAAGCCAATAAATTTTCAGCGACGCGGATTCTCATTTCGTTTTTTTCTTCTTTTCTTCTTCGTGCGGCGTGCATAACCTGAATTTTACCTACCCGTGTTGCTCGAGTCCCTCTTACAATGGATACAATCGCAGCGTCAGTTATGCTCCAGATCAATTTTTAATTGCACGCTGGTCGTTTCATCACTGCTCTCGTGTGCTTGAACGCACTTGGGTACGATGATTTGACCAGACATATTTGGATGAACAATTAGGATTGTACTTGAAGGAATGGGGACGTAGGCTTGGAGTCTTGTTGGACCTTCCAAAGGATTGGCCAGACCAACTTCGGCGTGTTCTCCTGAACACGATCCCTCTCCAGGTTTAATGCATGCACAACAGCGTGATATCCCATCCGAGGGGGAGTCATGAATGTTTGTGATGTTTGCCCATTATTATGATACCGCCTGATCAGGCCCCCGTCTTGTAACTCCGTCGCTAGCTTTTATGCATGAAAGCATGTGGCGCCATCGCGCAAGACCATCTATACATTGTATTTCCCATGCATTAAGCGAAACAGGTCTTGCGTTGCGTTTTTTCTATTCCGCAGGAGAACCCCCTACTTAAGGACGACAAACCTACTCGTCGTCGCTGATCTTTTGAAGCTTCCCCAATTCCCTCTTGGGCCCCGCCTCGCCGATGAGTTTGACACGGTCAAGTCGTACGGTCTCTGCCTCTCCGTCGCCCTCCTTGACATAAATGATGAGCGAGTTGGTCTTCTGGAATTTAACATAACGCAGTCCGATGCTGACTGTCCCGTCGCTGTTCCAGTCCTCGGGCTGAATTTCTATGGCTTGCGTTGGGTCGGTGCTATCAGCCTCGCTAAAGTCCATGTTCTGCGGCCTGTTGATGAATAAATGAATCGTGCCGGGTCGAGCAGGGGCGTCATCTTCTCCCTCGGGGATTATAGAAGTTAACTGAGAAGAAGCAAGTCAGTATATGCGCTGGTAAAAAGAGACACTGCGCACCAACCTGGAGAGTATGTAGCTTGACCGAAGACCCAAAAGGAATAAAGAGAAGCAACTGGTCATCGGCACCACTCTGCACATAGTCTTTGCTGGGGGTCTTTTCCTTGTCAAGCACACTCGGTTTTGATTCTTCGAACAGAACCTTGACCGGACCAGCATCCTCATCCGCATTCAAAAGCTCAATGTTCCTGCGCTCAATCTGATCTGTGATATCACTGTAGCCTCGAGGAATTTCGGCACCGCGCCACGTCTCGCTGCTAGGTCCGGCTTCCTGAATAAGCTTGCTGACAATCGCAGACAGCTGTTGGGGGTTTGCTCCCTTGACTGTATCCTCTACTTTCCCGTTTTTGAAAACGAGGAATGTGGGGAGAGTTGAGACGCCATATTCCTTGGAGATTTCGGTTTGCTCATCGCTGTTGATCTTGACAAAAGTCACGGCGTTGGGGCGGGACAGCGACTTGGCGAGTTGTTCGTAGAGTGGCGCAATTTGCTTGCAAGGACCACACCAGTCAGCATAGACTAACGGCATTGACAAGAGAAATATTAGCCATGTTTGACCTCTATGAAGGGGTTTGGATTTGCATGCGAGGGGCGGGGAGGGGACCTTGCATGGCGGGGCAAAGAGAGGTAACTTACAGTCGGCGACAACAATCTTTGAGGATTTCAAAAGGCTGTTGAACTGCTCCGGAGAGCTAATAGAGATGGGACCTTCAGACATGCTGTTGGCTGTAGTGGGGGCGCTGTACAGAATGCTGGTGGTGTTGGTTGCTTCTGTTGTCGGCTTCGTGGGTGATGTTCTGATGAAAGAAGTGCTGACAAAGTCACGTAATGGAACTCTCTGGCAAGTACCGATTTGTCCAAAATGGCATCAGCAGACAGCACCTGCCGGCTGGGCCAACCACAGAGCTGGAGGGCCCTTACTCAGCGAGTTGCCAGACGCTAGGCCCTAAATCTGGCCAACCTTGTGACGTTTCTCGATAAGGCTTATCTCACAAGCTGCCTGAAGCTACCTACTACCGGCCTACATAGCTGGGCATGCCACTGCGTGCTGTGAACATTCACTGCTTACGCTGAAATAGCATGTCTCCATGGCGAAAAATGAGAGTGGAGGAGGGGCATGGTAAACCCGATCGGAGATTGGATGACGGAATCTGGCTGGCCGGTTGGTTGGTCAGGGTGACATGTAAGGTACGGTTTCCCACACCCTGATGGGCTGCCCTCCGTTGCCCAAGGAGGTAGGTTGGTAAGTATTATTGTACAGTACCTACCTACCAATGGAACACATTTACCCGAGCCGGACACGCATCAACCATATCTTTGGAGGTTAATGCCTGCTGCTCCCGAGAACGACGTGCGGATCCGTGATGCGGAGCGCGCCGGGTGGCCGTCTTTAGCGGCCATCGCTCCCCTGTACCCAGTCATGGGTGTTCCCAAGCGCTGTGCTTTGCTTGGCCCTTGGCTGGCGAGAGCAAAGCAAAGCAGGCAAGTTGGCAGCAGGACAAAGCAAAACAGAGCCGGGCTAGACCAAGCAAAGCAAAGAAACGTCTAGAGGCTGAGCTGAAAACATGGGGCTTGATCGGTCGTCTGCCTCCTGGTGGCGCGCATCAAACAATCCGCAGGAGCGCAGTGAGTTGTTCCTGAGCCTGAAATACGTCGCAGTCTCCGATTGGCGCTTTGCCTGCCAGATTTCTGCTTGATGAACGCAAGCATCTGGCTATGTTCAAGGGCCACATGCGTAACATCGATCCATGTCCTGTCACGGGAAGACGATCGCCTGGATACCTCCACAGCTCGATAGCCCGCCTGAAATGAATTATGGAGATGGTCGAGATTGACAATGCTATGCTCTCCCCTGCTCGAGGCTGAGAACACGCGCCGTGGGCTGTTCTCTCCGTAAGACCTCTCGCTTTGCCTAGCTGCGTGGCAAGTAAGAGGGCGGGTGATGTGCGCTACATATCTCCGAATATTGACTGGCCTCCCAACAAGGCACAGCTCGGATCTTAGTAGAGGGAGGGAGGGGCACACATCGACACCACCTCTTTTAGCACCATCCATATTATCCGGGGCTCCAGGACCGGTAAGATGTCAATGTATCCACACGTGCCCGTATTATTGCTAAACCAACCACTGCCACCTCGCTCGCCCGCCATTGATCTATTTGCGTGTATGCCTGGGCGTCAATGAGATGCTACCCGAGGCCGTTCAGGGCGTGGCATGGCAAGGCAAGGCAAGGCGCCATGGAGGTATAGTAGGGAGCTATTATGTGGAGGTCGGTCGTAGTCGTGCGTCGTAGGTCCTGAGTTAACGCGCCACCAGCACCACTGGCGACAGACTTGCATACTTTACATACGACACCCATGAATGCATCAGTCGCGGCACGTCTGCTACATACACCACACGCCCCCGGACCCAGCCATCGATCTAGCCTGCCAGCCAGCCATCCGGCAAGCATGACTGCCTGTTATTTCACTCAATATCCACGTACTCTAGCTCTCGGCAGGTCGATGGCTGGCTTACTTTGCCCACTCTGCTCCACGTCCCTAGGTACATGCTCCGTACGGCCCGTTGTGCTCTCTTCTGGTCCCCTCTCCTGCCTGCCGATGCCGTATCCCCTTTTCGACTCATTCGTCACTCAGCCTCTACTATATTAAGTCTCGAGACCAGACCAAACCCGACAGACCCAACCCAATTCCCCAGCTGCCATCCCTGCCCCTCTTCTCTTGTGCTCCGTTCCCCATGCGGCACCACCCATATATCTATGAGCTTTGTATGACCACATCGTCCCTGTGAACGCCTGCAACACCTTCTCCTCACCTGCGACTGGGCTGCTGGCGGTTACACAGCTCACCACATCTCCCACTCACTCCCAGCTCACATCCACCTCACCTCGGACCGAACGCCACTACCAACCGTGGGGACTTTGACCTGATGCTTCGTACCTACAAATAATTGACCCCCCTCCATGCTCTCTGATTCATCGTCATGCACGGAGCGTCATGCAACACGCGCCCGACCTTGACTTTCTCTCTTGCAACCCAGCTTCTGTGCCGCGGTAGCTGCAAATATTAGCTTCTCGTATCCCTTCTATAATCATTCCAGGATTACCCTTACTCGCCACACCCCGAGCTTACAAACCTGCCACCTTGGTCAGCTCTCGCCTGCTTCCATTAGCTGCTTTTAACAACAACACCAGGAAAATCACAGTCGCCCATTCACCGAACTTGTCTCGCCTCACCCTACGCTCATTCGCTATTCATCATGAAGGGTTCATCGAAAGACAGCAGAAGCTGGAAGCCGATGGGCCTCCCCCCATCGTC